GGTAAAACGTAAGAGGGTATGTTCTTTCTCACGAAGACACTGTGGTACCACATCTCTTTTAAGGCCACCAGGGTGGGTGTGATAAATTACAAATAAGCTGGCTACTTATTGAAGCAGCTAGTAGATGGTATCACAACGGAACTGTATCTCTCACTTATTCTTCTTCTTTCAGAAGATCATTGTACCTTTCATTTGAATCACACCGCAAAAGACATCATCATCTTGTCCTTTATCGGCTTGCCGATGTCAGAGAAATCACCTACAAGCAAAAGGAATTCAAAACAAACAGAATGGGGGTACTATGAACCAAAATATATCATTTGTGTCTAACATTTTCAAAGGTCCCGCTTCATTTTGTTTTTAAAACTCAGAGGGGCGCCTGGGTGGCGCAGTCGGTTAAGCGTCCGACTTCAGCCAGGTCACGATCTCACGGTCCGGGAGTTCGAGTCCCGCGTCAGGCTCTGGGCTGATGGCTCAGAGCCTGGAGCCTGTTTCCGATTCTGTGTCTCCCTCTCTCTCTGCCCCTCCCCCGTTCATGCTCTGTCTCTCTGTCCCAAAAATAAATAAACGTTGAAAAAAAAAATAAAACTCAGAATGGTGCCTGTCACATAATAGATGTTCAACCTTCCCTTCCTCTCCCCTCTCCCCTTTGATTTCTTTGGACAAGGCTGGACACGGAGAGAGATTTTACATCCATGATTTGAGCATGGGTTTATTCTTCCTGGTTACAAGGTGCTTCCTTCTGAGTCCATCTCTTCTTTAATTTTGATTGGAACACCGGTCCCTACCTTCCTTCTAATGAGCTTTGCTGTTTGCACTGTTCCCTTTGCACAAACACGGAAACCTCACCACTGGCTTTATTCAAGACTCTGGATATTAAAAATTCCTAATGCAGTACGAAACAATATTTAAATAATGTTTCTTGGTGCAGTATAAAACTTCCTGGTGTTAGTATACAGCAAGTGCTACATAAGTTGTGGCTTTGATAACAGTAAGGTTCTTTAATATGACGTTCTCCACAGCTCAGGTCCGAACAACAATTTGGCTTAATAAAAAAAAAAAAAAAAAAAAAAAAAAAAAAAAAAAAAA